TCGAGTAGAGGAGCCGCGACGAGGGCGAGGCCGCCCCGTCGCCGCGTAGCGAGCCGGGCCTGTCCGCCGAGCCGCTGCGAGCCGCTCGCCCGTGAGACGGCGTCGGCAGCGTGTGCAGCTGGCGAGGCGGTGGCCGCATTCGGCTCTCTCCTGGGCATCCGCCGCGTGAGCGCGGTGGTGCTGCCGACGCGATGCGTCGGCTGGCGGCGCGAGACGAGCGCCGTGCCGCTCCGTCGGTGCGCCGCGCTGTTACTCCGCCGCTAGCCGAGCCAAGGCACGCCATCGCCATCGGGGTGGCGATGGATGCGTGCTGGCGAGGGTCGGGGCGGCGGTCCTGACGCGCCGCTGCGTGGCCGCAGTAAAGCGCTCGACGCCGTGCGTCGAGTAGAGGAGCCGCGACGAGGGCGAGGCCGCCCTGTCGCCGCGTGGCGAGCCAGGCCTGTCCGCCGAGCCGCTGCGAGCCGCTTGCCCGTGAGACGGCGTCGGCAGCGTGTGCAGCTGGCGAGGCGGTGGCCGCATTCGGCTCTCTCCTGGGCATCCGCCGCGTGAGCGCGGTGGTGCTGCCGACGCGATGCGTCGGCTGGCGGCGCGAGACGAGCGCCGTGCCGCTCCGTCGGTGCGCCGCGCTGTTGCTCCGCCGCTAGCCGAGCCAAGGCACGCCATCGCCATCGGGGTGGCGATGGATGCGTGCTGGGGCGGGGCGGCGGTCCTGACGCGCCGCTGCGTGGCCGCAGTGGCGCGCTCGACGCCGTGCGTCGAGTAGAGGAGCCGCGACGAGGGCGAGGCCGCCCCGTCGCCGCGTAGCGAGCCGGGCCTGTCCGCCGAGCCGCTGCGAGCCGCTCGCCCGTGAGACGGCGTCGGCAGCGTGTGCAGCTGGCGAGGCGGTGGCCGCATTCGGCTCTCTCCTGGGCATCCGCCGCGTGAGCGCGGTGGTGCTGCCGACGCGATGCCTCGGTTGGCGGCGCGAGACGAGCGCCGTGCCGCTCCGTCGGTGCGCCGCGCTGTTGCTCCGCCGCTAGCCGAGCCAAGGCACGCCATCGCCATCGGGGTGGCGATGGATGCGTGCTGGGGCGGGGCGGCGGTCCTGACGCGCCGCTGCGTGGCCGCAGTGGCGCGCTCGACGCCGTGCGTCGAGTAGAGGAGCCGCGACGAGGGCGAGGCCGCCCCGTCGCCGCGTAGCGAGCCGGGCCTAGGCGGCGTCGGCAGCGTGTGCAGCTGGCGAGGCGGTGGCCGCATTCGGCTCTCTCCTGGGCATCCGCCGCGTAAGCGCGGTGGTGCTGCCGACGCGATGCGTCGGTTGGCGGCGCGGGACGAGCGCCATGCCGCTCCGTCGGTGCGCCGCGCTGTTGCTCCGCCGCTAGCCGAGCCAAGGCACGCCATCGCCATCGGGGTGGCGACGGATGTGTGCTGGCGAGGGTCGGGGCGGCAGTCCTGACGCGCCGCTGCGTGGCCGCAGTGGAGCGCTCGACGCCGCGCGTCGAGTAGAGGAGCCGCGACGAGGGCGAGGCCGCCCTGTCGCCGCGTAGCGAGCCGGGCCTGTCCGCCGAGCCGCTGCGAGCCGCCCGCCCGTGAGACGGCGTCGGCAGCGTGTGCAGCTGGCGAGGCGGCGGCCGCATTCGGCTCTCTCTTAGGCACCCGCCGCGTGAGCGCGGTGGTGCTGCCGACGCGATGCGTCGGCTGGCGGCGCGAGACGAGCGCCGTGCCGCTCCGTCGGTGCGCCGCGCTGTTACTCCGCCGCTAGCCGAGCCGAGGCACGCCATCGCCATCGGGGTGGCGATGGATGCGTGCTGGCGAGGGGCGGCGGGCGGTGCGGCGGTCCTGACGCGCCGCTGCGTGGCTGCAGTGGCGCGCTCGACGCCGTGCGTCGAGTAGAGGAGCCGCGACGAGGGCGAGGCCGCTCTGTCGCCGCGTAGCGAGCCGGGCCTGTCTGCCGAGCCGCTGCGAGCCGCTCGTCCGTGAGGCGGCGTCGGCAGCGTGTGCTGCTGCGAAGCCGGTGGCCGCATTCGGCTCTCTCC